TAATTTTTTTTCTTTAAACACAAATAAGCTTAATTTTAGCTAGTTTCTGAACATTAGTAAATGTGTTTATTCGCATCTTCTAAGTACACAATTCGACAATTCGGGGTGTATTCGCACACACTTGCGGCCTACAATGGCTGCTTTGATGTTATGATGGGAATGGTGATGTCATCTTTTCAAGAACATAACAAAAAATCGTTGTAAATACTAAGTACCAAAACGCAAAAAAAGTTAAAAAAATTACAAAAAAAAAATTCAAAATTTTATTTTTTGTAATATTATATTGTTTTTTTTTTTATTAATCAACAGTTAAAATAAAAAAAACGTATGCCGCACCCAACAACAGTTCATTTACTTTGATACATTTTTTCTCACGTTATTTCACTTCACGCTGTGATCTTGCATTTTATTAGTTTTTTTTTTATATTTATATAAAACACAAATAAATACATATGTAAAAAATTTTAAATTTCTATTTACCAAAATATATGTATATATGAGTAATACTTTTTAAATCTGTTCCGACGTTGCACACTGGCCACAAACACTTTTACGACTAAACTTATTTTCGCTTTTACAAACTGTCTTATTAGAAAAATATGAACGAGCAATGAAGCACTAGTACTCGCACTCGCACTCGCATTCGCACTCGTACTCGTACTCGTCGCCGGCATTAATTTAGGACACGAACGAGATATTCGTGACCACATTCTTCTCTGAGTTGTGGTTCTGCGTGAAATTTTGTGGGGCACATATCGTATTTAATAAATAACAAACAAACTTTATAAAACCAAATCAAACACCGGTTTTGTTGTGCTTGTTTTCTCTACGAGTATATGACGTCATTATTTACTTGTAACCAAAGGCTCAAAGATCTGTAGCATATTTACTAGTTTCTACTCGCATGTGGTACTCGCTCTATTTTAAAGAGCGAGAGAACATTAGGTTACTGATTCACTGCCAGTGATTTTCAAGATTAATATAAGTGGCCTTAATAATTTAATTTAAATCATGCCTTTTGATTATTATAATTGAATTTGTTAGTCTGGAAAAATTAATGTTATAAGATTGTTGCAACGGAAATGCATTGCAAGTGCACATGCACTTTTTGATTGTCATTTTTTTAATTAAATTAATGGGAACTTTTATAACTGCGCTGAAATAAAATATTGATTTCGGTAATAATTGTTAAATTTATCTATAAGGCAAATATTTGTTAGTAAAAATAGTTTTTAATTAATAATTAAACAACAAAAGCGAAAAATTATGTTCAGATGCAAATTTTTAAACTCCCAATAGAAGGGGCCCAACGAAAAAAAATCACAATAAACCTAATATGTTAAATAAGTTCTCATGTAAATTAAGAATAAATATGTTAATTACAGTTTTTTATAAGTAGAAAATAACTACAGTCAAACTGCCATAACTCGAAGCACCATTTTGCAAAGAAAAGATTCGACTTATGGAGACTTCGAATTAGTGAATTTTTGTATTTGTGAAAGAAACTAGAATTTCATTTAAATTTTCAAATACAGCCCAGAAATTATAGTGATGTAAAATAGAGATTAGGGTTTGAGATCTTAATTTTTTTTCTAATTTTCAATAAAATCCCCTAACACCAAAATGAAAATTTTGACTTAGGGAAGAATGCACTTTCACATATTCTAATTGGTACGTTACAATATTTTTATTCGAGTTATGGTGAAATTCGAATAATAAAAGTTCGAGTTATGGAAGCAGAATTGTATATAATTTGTTCTCTAAAACCCTGTTGCACTTTTTTTAACTCGAGTTATAAAAAAGTCGAGTTATAGAAGTTCGAGTTATGAATGTTTATACCAAATAACGAAAGGGTATTAGACATTAAGGGTATTTACTTAAGTATTAAACTCATTAAAATGTTTTTTTTTCATTAAATTTAATTTTTAAAATCAGTTATGTAGAATGAAATTATTTTATCAATAAAAAAGGTTGTTTTTTTTAATTCAAGAAAATTTTTTCTAATTTAAAAAAAAATACCATTTTATTATTTCTTTAGAATATTTGATTGGTATATAGTTTTGTGTATAATATTTAGGCTGCAAGGGTCAGGAAAAACACGTTAATGATAAATTCTGTAATTCCTGTTTTTCTAAATAGTTTAGAGGTAGAAAGTCTGCCACACTTCTTATCAACATCCGCCCTGATTTTGTTAGTTAACCTATCACTTACTCTAGAAATTACTGAAATTATATTAATTTCATTAATATTATTTTCTTTTTGTCGAAAGCGACGCGTCTTATGACGAAAAAAAACTATTTAAAAGTTAGAAGGATGATAAAAAAAAAACTTGGAACTTAAGCATTGAAAGTTTGTGCATTTTCCGCTATTTGTGAAAGAACACGATTCTTCCACAAATTATATCCGAACTATAAACTATTAAAATTTCGATTATTCGAATATTTACTAAGACCACTGATGATAAATACTTGATAATACTCGAAACAGCATTGTATGGACAGCCAAACTTCAATAATTTAACTAAAATTTTTGTTCTTGTCTTTTCATTTTTATTCGAACACTTATAACTTTTAAATTATATTAATTTTGTTATGGATACTTATTACAATTAATCCAGTTAATCTGTCATTTGCTCCGTTGCCTTTAGTTTTCCTTGTCTTCACAAGAGAAAATGTGCTTACAGACTTAGCAGAATAAACAGAATAAAACATTTTATATACATATATTCAGATGTACATTGTACGCACATTTTATTAACATTTTATTAATAATTATGATACACCAATAGTATGAGCCCGGTTATACTCATCCACATTCAATGGGATAGCAAATTCAATATTAATTAATTATTAAACATTTTTCTCAAACAATATAAGAAATTGCGTTTAAGAAATATAAATAAAATATTATTATTATTGATTAGTTAATATACTTTAAAATAATGTTATTTTAATTGTTTAATAATTAATATAATAATATAATAGTGTAATATAATAGTGCAAGTATACGCAAAATTGATGTAAAAGAACATCAAGTTCGGTGAAAATATATTTTTATTGCAATTTTTATATTTAAAATTTAAAAGATAATAAACAAAAAGATGTACATGACAGTTGTAAAGCCAAATTTTACTTTTAAATTATTATTTATAAGGGTTTTGGTATTAATATATTGTGCTAAAAATATCTAGGTAGCCCGATATATCTGCAATAAATTTTACAATAAGATTTTAATATAAGTTATGTCGTTGTATGTAAATAAAACCCGCCTAACTCACAATAACAATCTAATTAATAATTATCTAATAATTAATAAATTCTATCATTCTTATTATTCATATATTATTATGGTTGTAGTGTTACTATAGATTTTACTAGTTTTTTTAGAAAGACTTACAATCAGAAAAGAAGTATAAAATACGTTGACGATAGATATAAGATAGCATAATTTACAATTAATACGAATTCAGATAATGTACAATATAGTGATGTACAAGGGAATAAGGGTGCATGGTTATTAAATATTGATACTAACCTAGATCAAGATATCTTGCCAATTCAATGCAACGATATCACAAATCAATTAATCTTAGATTTGTGTATAAATGGCAGCAGTCTGTAGAGCAGTGCTTTTTACTAGACATGAGTGAAAATGAAATGTACATAAAGAGAATTAAAATATATGTTTACAAATTGAAAAAGCTTGTTATTTATTTTATCATTTAATTTTAATCCATATCATGAGTTTAATAATATATCCTAAAAATCTTATAAATTTAGATATTACATTGCTTTGTGCAAATATATACATATATTTAAGTGAGTTATTAAATCACTTTTAATGTATTCATTTTCTTTTTATTTACAAGTCATTTATTACATTTCCTTGTTAATGTTATCAACTCTAAAAACATTTGATGAATAAGAAACAGAAATATACGTATTACTAAAATTTTTTCAAATGATTCATTTATTACTTGGCTTATTGCTGAGTCAAAAATATCTGAAGCGTAGTAACAACGACGTCATCTTGTCTCTCATATGATCTTCATTAGCATTTAAAAATTTATAAACTTTGACGATTTAATTATTAAATAATATGAGATGGTAATAGTTTCATTTGTAAAAAAAACATAAATGTTATGTGTAAGTATCAAAATGTGCACCTGTATGTGTACTCATATGAATAATTTAAATAACTTGAAGATCAAACAATTAATCATCATATTAAGTACGTGAATATATTATATGTACAAAAGCATTGCACATAAAACGTACTTGAAGATAATCTTAATTTATATTTATAAACCAGTCGCTGATAGCAGTTTATATATGCACTTTTAATTTAATTTTTGTTAAGAATTATCAAAGTGTAAAAGTATTTCGTTAAAATAAGTGAAAAATTATAATTATGAAATATATAGAATGAACGAATAATAAAAAGTTTCATAAAACTAATATAAATATTGTATGAAATATAAATTTATAACATATCTTCATAAGATCTAATATAATAACAATTCTTAAATTTGTGGAATCGCAATAGTTGTATTTTTAAATACCTATGACAATGTTACTACTTGTCTATTATCATCTTATGATTAGAGCCTCTTTTTAAGCATTAAGTGTTATAAGATAAATATATTTTGTCTAATTTTAAACTTACATTAAATCATTGGTAATTGTTAAAATAAGTTACTTTTATGATATTCCACGCATTCCACTAATTTTAATCTACAAGAAAACATATTATTAAAAAATAATTTGTATAATAATATAATATTTTACCTGAAACGGTATTGCTACTCTTGGTGATACAATAGATTTTTCAATCAAAGCAACATAAAATTTTGTATTTTTATCATTACCTAATAAAATACGTTGATTAATTTTATGTGAATGTAGTTCACCCAATGCAGGACTAATTTTCCATTCGGTTTCAACAAGGCAAGTAGTTAAATCATTTGTGATTACAATCTAAATAGCACAAAAAAGTGAGTAATATTAATTTAGAAAAGTATATATTATACTTACTGCAACTTTAAAATCCCTTCCTAACGCTTGTAAGATGTCTAGTAACTCATATATCACGCAAGTTCGTTCAGAAACTTCTTCCATAGAACGTAGAGGAAATGAAAATGAGTCTATAACAATAAGTTTCAACTAATTTTAAATTTTGATTGTGCTTTAAACTCTATTACATACGAACAATATTACTTACATTTGGTTTTTGCGTTAATATATTTTTAAGAGTTTTAATTGTAGCAATTAAGTCTATATAATCAGCACAATATATATAAGATACATTTCCCAACAGCGTATCAGTATCAAAAAGACCTTTACAACTGATTGTTGGATTTACCTTTTTAAAAGTTGAGTAAAATCGTTCCGACATGGCCCTTGCTATTTCTGGAAGAAAACTGAATTACTTCAGATGTGAAATCAAACAATTTGCAATAATAATAAAGATTTTTTACATACATACTACATACCTCTCAAGCGTTGTGGTGCGAACATTTGGTTCGTGTCTATGTATAACGCATTGCCTCCGATTCCACCAATTTCTTTAGGAAATTGAACGTTTATACTTAGCTGCATGCTTAAATTAAATGTATTATATTTTTAAAGATTGTTGGAAAATAAAAAGCAATTACTTACCACATTTGAGTTTTAGCATCACCCAAACCACATAGTTCTGTTATGAGCCCTATAATTATACCACCCGCCAATTGAGCATCCAAGTCTTTACATAATGTTATAATTTTCTGTGTTTCTTCTTCGTTTCGCCACACATCAAAACATGTAGTTTTAAACATATTAAATTGGATAATATATAATCAATTGCACAGTTTATGAAATATATAATATTTGCCGGTAAAAATAGAGTGTTGCAAAATGTTTTTATAAATAAATAAATTATTAATAACAGAGTTGTATTTTATGCGTAACTTAGAAATTTGAAATCATTTATGCCATGATTGCCTTATTTACACATATATATAATGTAATATATATATAGCATATATAATACGTAATACCTAAATAAAATTTGTTTTCTTTTGTTTTGTATTGCAAAAACTGTTTGCTTTAAAATCATATGATATCCAGATAACATATTTAGAAACCTGCTGTAATCTTTAATTAAGCAAAAAAATTAAAAAATTAAAAGTATTCATTAAATTTCTGAAATTTAAACAAATAAACTTTTAATTGTACTTTCGTTCATTAAGTTAAATAAAGTTAAAATTACAATTCGATTCAATACAAAAATCCAACAACCCAAATAATGATTGAATCATGACCTTTGAAAAATTAATTTAAATATGAAATTATAATTTATTACAATACATTTGTGTAACAAAATTTTGCAAAATATATTTTAATAATAGCTGTAATTTTTTTAGAGTACCAAAAAAAATACTTGCAACTTAATAAAGAAAACATATGAAGCAACAATAATGCTCTAAAATCTTCAGAGTTAGGTTTTACTCGCAAAGAATTTTACGTCTTAAATTTCAGTGTAATGCCAAATCCGAGAATCAATCTATTGTGATGTTCACTGGATATATAGGCCTTTTCGGTGGCTCTCAAGTATGACAAAAAATATATGCTACCCTATATTCGCTACGCGAGACATTGGCATCACAGTTGCAATCTGGCAAGTGTTATGTTTCGACAAACAGCAAATATTGTATATGTGTACATAATTCAAGAAAAATAACATTCTGTATAAAAATAAATAATTTATATAAATTGAAAAGTAAAATGAATACAGTATTAAAAGGAATGGTTAAAATGTTGAAAATTTCAAAATAAAACGGTAAAATTTTTTAAATTTATGAAATTTTTGTTTATATATGATTTTTAACATATGATTGCAATATTCATTGGAATTTCCAATGAAGATCCACAATAGTTCGCTTATTGCGTTGGCAATACCAGAACTGGCCTAAATAGAGAAAATAGTGTTGTTGTTTTGCATACATTTCAGCCAGTGCAGGCCAACAACTTCCTGCTTTTTGCCATACTTGTGAGCCACCGAAAACGCCTATTATTTAACACTAATAAGTAAGCTTAATATATTTTTTCTTAATGAATTTTGAGTGAAGCAAAAGCATTAGTTAATAAATTAATTCATTATATATAATGAATATGTATAATAACACTTTTTCGCACGATAAAAATATCGCTCGAAAAACGTATGTGTTACTTTTGACTTTAATTTGGGAACACTGTTTTAATACTATTTTCATTTTGCACTGTCAACACTACGGGTCATAGCAACAAAATGTAATGATTGCAGTCTGCTGTCGTTTTTTCAAGCTCGGTGTAGTGTGGGGTTTGGTGTGTTATTTACTTAATTATTTTTATAGATATTAATAAAGGTTAGATGAGAAAATATAAAATGTTGAAAATAATGTGAATAATATAAAAATCGAGTAATTGTGCGTATTTACATCACTCACGTTGATTGAAATTCAATAAAGAACAAAACATTTCTTGTCTTCCAATTCCATATAAGGTAAGTAAATCTCTTTACATATAATATCATTAGTATAGAATAATAATGTATATTATTTCTATAGAATAAAGTAACTGATTTTATAATTACATTTAAACTATAAGCAATTGAAATTTATTAGAATAGTTGTTGGAGAACGTGGAAAAGTAACTACGATCCTACACTTCACTTCCACTGACAGGTTTAGATTGTCCGGCAAAATTAGGTCAATGAAATGGTTTCCCTATTTTCGGTTTGCAACTCTTAAATTAATTTGTTATGTGGTTTATTATTTTTTTTTTCTTAATTTCACATCAAACGGGTTATTGCTTTACACAGTAAACCTGAATTTATTATTTTTATTTACAGTTTAGAATTTTCCCGGTTTTATTTGGTCAAAATATAACATTGAAAACAATAAGTGAACTTGAAAACAGGAATACAAAAACAAAAAGTATGATATTTTTGTATATAAACCAGAGTTCGGAATGTGGTGCACAAAATCGCACACTGCACTGTGCGAGTGGAAATTATTTTTAAAATATGCACACGCACATTTGTGGTGTTAAGAAAAAAATGCACGCACTCAAATTTGTTGTGCGATTTTAAATTTCACATCGCACAAAGCGATGATTGTGCACACAGATTCGTGCACACACATTTGTGCTGTGTGACTGATTTTTAAAAATGTGCACAATCAGATGTGCGAGAAAATTTTATGCTCGCACCGCACTGTGCGACAAAAAATTCTCTTTGCACACGAGTGTGCTGCTCATATTACGTTTGCACAAATGTGCACAAATGTGCGACTGCACAAACGTGCACAAATGTGCGATGCACAAACGTGCACAAATGTGCGATGCACAAACGTGCACAAATGTGCGATTTTGCGCTTGCACCCAAGGGTGGAAAAAATTACAGGAACTTCACAATTTTGTTTGAAATAGAAAATATTATTTTGTTGCAAATTTTGAAAAAATTGATATTTGCGTTCGTTGGGATCGTAATTTATGTTAAAAATTGCATAAATTAACAAATATTTAAAATAATTATTTTTGTTAATTAATGTAAACTAAAAATTATAACTGTCTTAACCTTATTTGTATTTTAACTTAAAATATTAGTTTTTTGTATATTACTTTGAGCATTTTTAAATGCAAATATAGTAAGTGAACTTAAAGTATTTGTTTGGAAAGTTTTGCACCAGTTTAAAAAAAATAAAAACATATTTTAGGAAGATTTTTTTATGCCCAAAAAATATGAAAGATTAGGAAAATATTTTTTTTGAACAGGTAGCAGGTATTGGTATTGGTGTATTTGTTTAATAAATTTTGCAACAGTTTAAAAAAGATAATACGGGAGGGCCACAAATAGATATTTTTCTTCTCCAGAAATATGTATTCATATAGGTAGAGTATCTAACATTCATTAAAAAACGCGAAAGATTAAGAAAATATTTTCTTGAACAGGTAGCAGGATTTTAGCGCCCTTTCTACTGTGATAAGTAAGCAGAGATATAATTTAAGTGAAAAAAATATTTCAGCAATGTTATTAATAAGATTAAATGAAAATTTATTTCAAAAAATATGTAATAAAAATTATATATTTTATAATAAGAAATTAAGATATTAAATTATAAAATTATTTCAATAACTTTGTTAAATTTAAGCTGTAATTAAAGATAAAAAATTAATTGAAATCTAATAAAAAAATTAATTCATGTTGTTGTAAAAAATATTTAATTTGCTTTTTATAACCTTACTAACGAATCTTAGTGTACAACTTACTATTAAATAAAATTTTATGAAGTAGTCCAAAATTGATATATTTAATTTTTTCAAAGTACGATCCGTAGAACCGATCCTCTTTACTTATAACATTTCGAAACAAATACTCTTTCTCTATTAAATTCATGTACCTATTTAATATAACAAAGTTTTCAAGTACATTGTGAAATTAACTTTATTCCCATATTTTAAATTAATAAACCTTAAAAAAATAAGTAATATAAGCAATAAATGTAAATCTAATAATAAATTGAAAATTAAAATATAAATACAAAATTATTTCTTCAATAAAATATTTCGCATTAAGACCAAAATTAATACAAATCAGTTTTCCGTACTATTTTGCTGCGATATTTGTCATAATATTGTGCGCTTTTAAATCATCATTTTACACAAACGTGCAGTAGACATTTCGTCTCCGCACATTTGGGTGCATTTTTATTTTCGAGCCTGCACACAAAATGTGCTTCTCGTATTCTTTTCTGCACACGTTGTGTGCGAGGGCAAGTTGGCTGCCGCACACACAATGTGCTGTGCGAAATAACTTCGGCACAAACAACGAATGCGTGTGCGAGTTTTATTTCACTCCACCACACTCGTGTGAAATGTGCGTTTCGTTTGTGCACACAAGATGTGCACTTAAGATGTGCACAAAAATTTTCGCACACCACATTTGTGGTGTGAAATTTTAGAATCGCACAACATTTGTGCGTGGTGTTTTGCATTTTTGTGCACAGCACAGTGTTTTTCTGAACCCTGATATAAACCTACATATGTGTTTATAAAATAAGTGTTAAATTACGTGTACAAACATCATATAAAATAATAGTTCAATTGATTTTTTTAGCGGTTTAATACAAATAATGAAAAATAATCTTGTAAGCAATGACATCACTCCAGCTATGGGGGTGTAGTGCCGTAGAGCGAAAAGCTGCGCTTGCTTTAATTTTTAATTCTTTTCACACTTCTTTTTACTGCCATAAATAGTTTATATATAATATATAATAATTGAATAAAGCAAATATATTTCACTACTTCTCGTGTTTTCAGACAAAATTAAAAAATCACACCATTTACTAGAAAATATATGATAGCCATATTCGGATTTAAAGTAAATGTATAAATAACTCAAGTTATACATTTCATATAGAGGTATTTCTAACAGTAGTGAACTACAACAACAAAAATTCATTTTATATTATATTAATTAATTGAATTTTTGACTCACAATACAGCTGCTTCGAGTATTCGAGTATAATTAACATATTCGTAAATATTTTTTTGAGAATGCAAGTACCAGGAATCGAACTCGTGTCCTGCCAAATTTGAAGCTCAGAGTCAGCGCACCTCAGTTATACATTCCTATAATGTTTACTTAGTTTATAAAACGTACAATATTTTATTTATTTCGTAGTAAATAATAGCAATCCGTGTTATTAATAGTTTGTCAGTCAAAGTAATACAAATGATTATTTGAAGAATTTGTGCTATTGAGATAATAACGCACCTCACTCTCTTTCCAGTTCCGATGCAAATATCTTTCTAATTTTAAAGTTTGAATCTATGAGTGCGGTATGATATATCTAAA